AGTATTTTTATGAAGGTGGGAATATTACTTTTAACTAACTACTATGAGGGGATTGAGATGGTTCAATATTGGAGTTCAATAGTTTAGGTGGGTGAGTGGTTTATGATAGTGATGGGTTGGGATTAATGGGTGAGGGGGTGTTGGGGTAGCTGCCTTGTATAGTTGTTCTGCATGATTAATAGTGGTTTCTGCCTGAACTTTATTTATAGGTGTAGGTATTATTATTGCGATTACTCGGGGGTAATTAAATGGTTAATAGAGTTGGGATAGATAAGAGTGTGATTAGGAATGACAGGAAATATAGTTTAATTATTCCTTTTTGGTTACTAAGGGTTGTGGAGGTACAGTGTGGAAGGTAGAGGTGATTTTGGGAATAACTTTTTCTAGTCAGATTAAGTTTAATAAGGTTGGGGCTGTTTTAAATCTTATGTTGAATGTTTTGGTGGGGCGGACGCAGTGTATAATTATTGGGAAGTAAAATAGGGAAGTCAAAAACAGGTTGGCAGGTGAAGATTTATTTGGTGAAAGGTTGGTGGTTAAGTTGTTAAGTTCTAGTGCGATAGAAAATCCTGCAATAGTGACTAGTAATGCTGTAGTTTATAGTATCATGGTATTGTTATGATTTGGATAGGTGGTGGTGGTATATTCTTTGAAATGAAGAAGCCTGCTATAATGCTTCCTAGAGCTTCACGTTTATTGAGTTTATTAGTAATGGGCCATTTTCTTTTTTTAATTTTTTTTAAACAGCATTTTAATCTTTTCCTTTGGTTTGCAAGAATGTGAGACAGGGGTGAATTCCTCAGGTGAAGGAGGCATATGGCCACACTGTGAGAGCTGAAACATTAACAGACACCTTTGGAGTGGATGGGGTGCCTCACTCTTTGGGTTTCTGTCAGGTACTTCCATGTTTCCCATCTTCTCTCTTTTGCCCCCAACTTCAGCCTCCTCCTTCGCGGTCCTGACTTCCAGTGCTCCAGTGTGGGTCTCCGTCTTTATCTCTATCCACCATCGGATGAAGGCCCCCTCTGATTTTGCTTTCCTTGCTGAGGAAGGGAATCGAGGTTTAGTTTTTAAAGCCAAGTAGATAATTCATATGCTGTGAATGGCTGTTAGTGAGGTTAACTAGTGTAATTAACAAGGCTCAAGTGTTGGTGTAACAGGTATTAACAGCCTCAGTGATTAGGCCTTTTGAGTAAAAGCCTATGAGGAAAGGTATTCCTGTGGGGGCTATGCTGCCAACGGTTAAGCATGAGAATGTAATTGGTATGGATTTTACCAGGTTATCTATTTTTCAGATGTCCTGTTTGTCATTTAGGCTTCGGATAATGGATCCAGAGCATGTGAATAGTATAGCCTTGAAGAATGCATGTGTGCAGATGTGTAGGGAAGCTAGGTGAGGTTGATTCATTGCTAGGGTTACTATTATTAACCCTAGTTTGCTTGATGTGGGGAATGCTATGATTTTTTTGATGTCATTTTGGGTTAATGTGTAAATTGCTGTGAATAAGGTGGTGAATGAGCCTAGACATAGTATGGCTGTTAAGATTTTGCTGTTGTTAGAGGTAATGGGATGAAATCAGTTTACTAGGAAAACACCTGCTACAACTATGGTGCTTGAGTGGAGGAGTGTGGAGGTAGGGGTTGGTCCTTCTATGGTTGCTGATGGGAGTCATGGGTGAAGTCTGAATTTTGTTGATTTAACTGTGGCTGTGATAAGGAGTCCTAGTAGTGGGACAATGTTTGTGCTGTCTATTAGGAAGATTTGTTGTAGCTCTCAGGAGTTGGAGTTTAGGCAGAATCAAGCTATTGCTAGAATGAAGCCAATATCGCTGATGCGGTTATAAAGAATGGCTTGTAAAGTTGTTGTGTTTGCCTTGGCTCAACCATATCATCAACTAATTGGTAAGAAGGATATAATACCAACACCTTCTCAACCAATGAAAAGTTGGAATAAATTGTTGACTGATGTATGAATAATTACATTAGTAAGAAACAGTAATGAGTATTTGATGAATTGATTTAGGTGTGGGTCTGAATACCATGTGGAAAGTTCTATAATTGATCAGATGACAAGTAGAGCTACTGGTAGGGAAATAGTTGAGAAGTTGCATTTGAAGCTTAGTGATAATTTAATAGTGCTAATAATAATTCAGTGTCAGCTGCTGATTAGCTATTCTGTGCTGGAGTTAAAAACTGAGATTAGTGGAATAAGGCTAATAAAGAATGTGTATTTGATGTGTAAGTTTCCATAGTTGGGGAAACTTACAAATTTAATCATTAGTAAATTAAATAAGTATAGGGAAAATGAGTAGCATGAAGATAAGTAAAATTGAGGATGTAATTGTGTTTATTACTTTCATTTGGAGTTGCACCAATGTGGCCCAAAGGCATAAGAGAGAGCCCATAATGGCCCTGGACGTCAGAACATTGATGGGACTAGGGGTGGCCAGGACTGTCTAGGCACTTCATCCCTGGTGATTTTAAAACAAGTAATGGAAATAATTCTCTCACTGTTTACATTGACCTTAGAAAAGACAGAGACTGTATTATGTTACTTACAAAAGTCTTTTGATTCCTTAGCAAGGATAACCTTACAAAATAGGAGAGGCTTTGACTTGCTGTTTATGGAACAGGGAGGAATTTTCAGCACACTTGAGGAAGAATGCTGCTTCAATGCGGACCATTCAGGATAGTTGCAAGAACCATAGATGAGTTAAGAAAGATATTGATTTGTTTAAGTCAAAGACCCCCTGTGAGATCTGGTTTAATTGGTCTCCATGGCTTACCACACTCATCTCTTCCCTAATTTGTTGATGACTATTTGTTTATTGATCTGTCCTTTTGGCCCATGCATTCTCCAAAGTCTGAAACAAGTATTAAAAAAGAGATACAACAGGTACAACTCATGGCCCTTCAAGTACATTATTATAGGCTCAATACATCTCACCCCATGGATAAACTCTCAATTTGAGGGTATCAGGCCGAAACTCCAGATAGGGGTGACACTGACCCATACTATCTCCCCAATGGACTATTCTGGCTTGGTGACTGGGGTTGGGGATGGGATATAAAACAAAAAAGGAGAAAATGTTGGACCAAAATTATCTCAGGACCTATACACCAAGGCCTGTAGGATAGGGAAAAGCCTGTTTTGAGTTGAAGAATAGTCTCAAAGCTACCAAGTGAGGATGAGACAGCAAAAGCTAGGTAGATGCCCCTCCAACCAGAGGGAGGGCTTGGCTGTTTCTCATAGGCTGGAGGGACCCCCACATCACACAATGTCACTTAACCTATATAAGATGGCACTCACAATAATAAATTGAGTTCCTGCTTTGACTTGACTCCCTGTCGTGTCTGATTGTCCTGCGTCATGGGGCTGCAGAACAGGCTGATTGCACACTCACCTTTCCCTGGGGAATAAGACTAAGGAGGCCTGGCAGTAAGGTAGTTACTAAAACTATTGGTCGGTTTTGGGGCACAAAATTCCTAACAAAGGGCCACTAATAAATGACAAGGTGTCTTCCAGGACAAGAAGCTCCTAGGAACATCTGGACCTTGTTAAATTTTATGGCCCTTCTTCTTAGTTCTCTAATTGGCTATATTAAGGGTATCTGTTCAAATTCTGCTGTCACAGCACATTTATGGAGCTTAGATCTGCCCCAACACATTATATGACTTAAGATGAAGCCTCTTCTTTAAAATGGAGCTTGCAAAGTTAGGTAGGTCCTCACAGAGCCACATAAAGAAACTAATTTGAAGGGAGTATGAAGGGCGTCCTAGGAAACAGCACCCACTTATAAGTCTTTCTTGGCTCTACCTGGTCTCTCTGAGACTCCTTTATTCAGACAGGCAGCTTCTCAGTCCCTGGAGTGATTTTTTCTAGAATATTAGTTGAAGTTGTGTTACATTCTTTTATACTGCAGAATATTTTTCCCATTCTTTTTATATATTTATTAAAAAGAAAAAAATTCACTTGTTAATAAGTGATACTTAATGTTCATCATTAAATTAATGTTTGAAAGTTGGGTTCACGGGTTCTCATGCGTACACATATGCATTATGTATATGTATTTCCTTTTCAACATAGTCAGTAACTCCAGTTCCATGTGGAATCCATTGCCCTCTTCTGGTCTGTGTGGGAACTGCATGCTTGTTTTTCTTAGCCAACAGGCTAACTACCCATACACATAAATTAAAAAGCACATGAATCTGAAAACAATGTGTGAAATAGGTAGTCAAGGTAAGAGCACTGTTAAAGACACCATGACCCGATGTGTTTTAGAAGGTTATGTTCTCTGCATATAACTAGTGCTATAATTCAAGGCAAACAGAAGCAGATAGCTTCGGGTTTCCCTATTTCTTTTATACTCCAGAAATGAAGGTTCTTATTTCCTGAGATGCAGTAGAAAACACAAGTTAGCCCGGCAGTGCGGCACAGGTTTCTAATCCGAGCACTCAGGAGGCAAAGGCAGGAGAATCTCTGTGAGTTCGAGGCCAGCCTGGTCTATAAGAGCTAGTTCCAGGACAGGCTCCAAAGAACAGAGAAACCCTGTCTTGAAACACCAAAAAAAAGTACAAAAAGAAAATGCAAATGTATTTCTCAATAATATATGTACAATCTCGTCATTAATACGTGTATATCTAGATCTACTATTTGGACTAGCAAATATGTCACATCAGGTGACAAATATGGATCTTTTTGCATCACGAAGTGGGTATCCATGGAGTAGGCATCAAATTCAGGACATCACATTCAGGACACCTCCCCTTTGTAGCCCCGTCTGGCTGGAAACTTACAAAGACACTTGGCAACTGAACAGATCCATCTCTGCCTGCTGAGTTTTGCAGTTCGAAGAGTGTACCACTACACTTGATTAAAAATTTAGTTTAAGAATGAAGAGTTAGAAATTGCTTTTTTATTTATGAAAATACAGTCATTTGACTCAGTGGGGTTTTTAAACAGGGGATGCAGTATATACAGTGTATAGCCTTAGCAAATATCAAATAAAAAACAAGAACTATAGAACCAAGATATATCTAAACCTCAAATGATAACAAAGCAAACAAAAATCTGAATGCAAACAAACCTAAACCCAAAAATCAAGCAAAGAAATTTACACTAAAGAACATTTTCTTTGGGCAGACTGAGTAGCATGGTTCCACCCTGTGGCCAACTTTGGGCACAAATAGGAAGGCAGGCACAGATTGTCATAATCTTTTCAAGACAAGTGCAGCCAGGCCACTTTTGGGCTTTGAAGGTCAAGCGCCCAGTTATCTTAGACTCCTTCTCAGCCACAAGCTTTCAGAGTAACTGGGCAGAGTGATATCCTCCCTCCTTGCTGCTGTGCCTCACTTCCTGGGGGATGTCGGCTTCCTCATCACTCTTTATGGGGTGTTCTGTATGCCAAGCTTCTTTCTGAGGGTTTTTACTCCAGAAGTAGTGAGCCAACAGGCACAAGGCTCAGATTAGGGATAGATCACCTATAGGAAGGAGGTTGATATTTGCCTCAATGCTGAGTCTACAGTTAGAAAGACATGTCTTGGTCTGAGGAGGTCTTGATCTTTTAGTGGAGCAATGGGTTTGGGTTGTCTGTGGCTTCCTTTGGCCTCCTCAGTCCTCTGAAGGGTGCTGTGAGAGAAGAAAAGGTGATCAGATTCAGAAACTCCTTAATCTGAATCCTCACACAGGCTAGACACAACCAGGGTCTATTCATACATAGGAAGTCAGAGTCAAGGAAGAACATCCACCCCACAAGTCCCACGGGTGCTGGGATGGGATGCAATGGTGGCTCACTTGCCTGTGCCCCTTAGTGCTCCTGCTGCAGCAGCTCTGTTGGCGGGAGGCTCTCATCCTGTGTGGAGGGTTGCTCCAGCTCATGTTGGAGATTCTCTGACCTGAAGGAGGAAGGCAGTTAGGGGATCTGCCATGTCAGCTGCCAAGCTGTGACCTCACAAAAACTAAATTGTGCCTGGCACTCAACACTGATCTTTTGACAGTTGTGATTGGTCGTATCCCTAAGAAAGGAAAGTCACAGAGCAGCTGGGCCTGGGATTTCTTCCAGCCTTTAACAAGTGTCACAAGTTGCTATGGGTGTGGTATGTACTGTGTGCTATGAGAGAGGACAGGACTTTCTCCTGCAGTCCAGTGACATCATCATGACCAAAGTAATAGTTAGTTAAAGGCAGGGATGACAGCATAGCAGAGAAACACACAGTGTTCATGGGGATGTGCTCATGGAACACCTCATTTTAGAGACAGAACACAGCCTTGCAGCTTAGACAATGGGACAACATCATGGAGCATGCTCATGCCTCCTACCTGGAAGGAACCTTGTTCCCAGGCAATATGAAATATGGAGCCTGTCATGGTGGAGTCACCTTTCCTGAGATGTGTAACTGAGATCAAGGGACCTTCAGGGACTCGTTAATTAAAGATAATACCCTTGTTTTCCTTAGGACTCCAACTGGGAATCTACATTCTGGTTCTCTAGAGAATTTCTTTGCCCAATAATCTCTGAAATTCTGATTAATCCTGCAGCAGAGACATCTGTCTGGGTTCTTCCTGTCAATGACTAAACCTATTAAATCCATAAGACATTGTACATGGCATGTGGTCAAAGAATAAAGACAGCCAGTGTTACATCTAATCTTGACCAAGGGTTGGACTCTCAACCCTCAGTAAAAATGTCATTTTATTCAGCATGGTAAGTAACACCTTTACTGCCCAAGGCTGTCGAGGCCAAAGAATGCAGAGCTCTGTGATTTCAAGAAAAGCCGTCTTGGAATAAACCAGAGAACTCAGAAGGGAGTGTGGGGAACACAATTCTGCAGACACACTGAATATCAAGCACATTTATTCCTAGAGGGAAGTTCTTCTTCCCTGGACCAGCACAATACTCTGAAGTGTTATTTCCCTGGTGATGACTGGGAGCATTGCCCATAGGCAAAGCCCACAAAAGGCAAAGTTCCCAGGTAGAAGAGCCACACCTGCACCCAACTACCAACTCCCAGCCTAGTCTCAAACCTCATCTGGGAGACAGTCACATGATGCTGCAGATTTCCTGCCAAGTTCTTTTCCTGGTTGACGATCTCCCTCTGCTTCACTGGGGACTGCAGACTTTCCTCCAGTCTCTGCTTCTCCTGTTCATTAGAAAATTGTGCCCTTAGTGAAGAGTTGAGCATAGGCAAGAATATTCTCTTATGTAAGTGCGAGCATACACAGAGGGTCCAAAGAGCTTGCTGGTCAGTCATTCCACTAAAACAGCAAGCTTCTTGGAAGGAAGGATGCCTGTTTCAGGGTAGAGACTGACAAACCTAGTGGTCTCCTCTAGCTGCCATCCATATGCATGGTGCATGGTACCACTCACTGACCTCCAAACCCACAGAGATGGAGAGAGAGAATGAGAGAGAGAGAGAGAGAGAGAGAGAGAGAGAGAGAGAGAGAGAGAGA